GTATGAAAGCTTAGTGAAGCAGGAAAAATATTAACTGGCTTAAGAAAGCTAGAAGAGCTGCCAATGGAACAATGTGTGAGCTTTTCATGTCCTTAATTTTTTTTACTTCTTTTGACTATAATGTGGTAATATTAATATTTGAATATAATTTTCATTTCAATAGTAATTTTCCCTTAAAAAGAGTTTTGCTCGATATGTAAGTATGATTTTTAAATATTACATCTAATATCAATTTTCACAACTAATTTTATAATAAAATAATGAAAAGTATACATTTCACTTAAGAGAAGCATATTATATTGAACATATTTGTGGAACATGATTTAACGAATGGCAATTAAATATTTTAGCATAAAAATTTTAAATGTACTAAGATATAGGCAGTATTTTATAGCATCCATCTTCTTACAGAGTAAAAGGCAATTTTAGATTTAATATAGAAATTTTAAATTAAGAATTAACAACAAACTTGTGGAATATTCTGACTTTCTAATTTAAAAACATTTCTTCATTTTTAATCCAAAATAATAATATAGGTGTTAAAATAGAATTCTAATGGATGACTTTGCTCTATTAATTCATATTTTGCATTATAGCCTTATCTACAATAATTTAAGTCAGTACTTTTTTATTCATAATTAATTAAAAACTAAACTAGGAATGATACTCTCTTGAAAATATTAACCTGTTTTGCAGATGAGAAAGCAAGTTTGGCAAAATTAAATAAAAATTGTCCATGATAGTATAGTATGTAAGTGGGTATAGTAAAATCATTTAAACTCAGGCCAGTCTGATCCAAAGCTTATGCTCTAATTGGTGTCAACTCTTGTAGGAGGCTAATGAGTAAGAGAAGGGAGTTCAAGCAGATATAGCCTAGTATTTTCTATATGCTAAAACGCGTGCATGAGGGCCTCTCTGGTGGCTCAGCAGTTGAGCACCGCACTCCCAAGCTGTCCACAGCCTCTGCAGCGCCAGTTTGATTTCCCACCAGCCAGGGAGAAGCCCACATGGAGCAGCAGACCTCTCCTGCCTCGCCCACTGCTCCCCTCAGCAGTGTCTTTGCTCCGTCTGCCTATTCTGCTCCCTGATCTGACTCTGGTGAATTCTCTCACCCTCCCGTGCTTCTGACCTGTAACCCAGTTCTTGTATAAAATAAATAAATAAATCTTTTTAAAAATTAAATAAATAAAACGTGCACATGAATGTGTAAGATGGGTGATGTATAGCACTTAGAGCAATATTTAGACCGGAGCATGAGCTCCATAAATGTTAGCTAATCCACAAGTGTTTAGTAAGGACCTGGGATCAGGCTATAGTAATGAGGCATGTTAGGTAGACTAACAATGAAAGTGGTTCGGTTCTCCATGGTTTGTAGGGGTAGTGGACGTGACACACATGAGTTCATGTCAGCAATCCTATGTGTTATGAAAAGAGAGCATGACCAGGGCTCTAGATCCTGAGAAACTGAAGAGATTATTTGTGTTGACTGGGAAAGATGGATATAAACAACGTAATTTGTTCTCAGTACTTCCAGCACAGAAGACAAAACAAAGATGGTGATATTATGGAGAGATGGATCTTGAGAGTTAGAAGCCAAGTGATCAGAACTGAGTCAGAGTCAGGGTAGTCCAGCAGCAAGGTGCAGAGAGGGGAAGTCCCGTCATGAGAAGCACCGGTGGAGAGCTGAAGCACCTGAGAACCCATCAGCGTGCAGACTTTCCCTTACAGCAGATCCTGCAGTTTTCTGAGACATGCACCCTATGGTTGAGCCAAATTAATCTCCTAAACTGGGTCATCACCCTGGGTTGCACAGCAAGCAGCAGCCTGGCAGCCAAGCCCCCATAAACACTGTCATCAATGCAAAAAAGCACTGGAAAGAATCTAGTTTGTTTCAAATCCTGAGAACAATCAGATTCCCTTCTGGGCATTGCTTTAAAATCCATTACCATTATCAGGTAACTTTAGTATCTTTACAAAAGCAAGACAATTAAAGAACTAGTTAGAGTTGTCTTAGCCATTTGCCAGATGGCCTGGGAGATGAAGACAAGTGGACAGCCTCATGGTCATCAGCAGGGCCACACAGCTCCCACTTTGGCTGCTCACTAACTTTAGCTTGTGTGCTCAGTGAACCCAGGAAGGTCATGGCTCTTAAGGAATTCATGTTTCATGGAAATTTCAGAAACTTCTGGATTTTATTCATGCCCAGGAAAGAGAGCAAGACTCCCGAGCCCCATACACACACACACATTTACCTGCATATTGAGAGGCATTTATGAGACTGTCATTGGACTTTGAGTAGCCATGGGAAGCTATGCAGCCTCTACCCCAAACCCTCATCCATTGGAAACCCCTGCAAAGAGAGTAAGGGCATTTCTGTCCCAGCACAGGTGTGGGCTTGGTTGTTTACTGCGTAAGGGAACATTCCAAGTCATTTGGACCCATTTGGAATTGTTTGCAGGACCCACAATATAGCCTGATAGAACTTCTTAGCACTTTGTTCTGCCAAAAAATTGAAAACATTTTAGAAGTCTCTGATCTTTCATTTAAAAATAATTATTAACTCTTTCAGTTCATAAATATGCATTTTCAAAAGCAAGTAATGCAGGAAATGGACCTTAGCAATTTGAAAGGGTTTCGCTTCCGCCAACACACAAATGAAATAGGGACAGACAGTAGTACCAACTCCACGGGCCATTAGGCCTCACATTTGTTCTCTGATCTAACTTTATACATTCGCATCCCCACGCTGCTTACAAAGAAATGAAGCGTGAAGATTAAATAGCATGATAAGTTTCACATGATCATCAGAGTAGCCAGGATAAAAGCTCACAAAAAAGGACTCTCCACCTAGTATTCAATACCCCTTGCGACCTGTGGTCACACCCAACCTTCCTCCTTTGCAGTCCATTCTATTGACTCACCAAAGAAGCTTGATTGCTTTTGATGTCCAGGAGCCAATTGTCCATCTCTTTGTTCATGATGTAGGTCATGCCAGAAAAGGGGTTGATTTGAATGCAACTGAGTCCTACTTTCACCTCTCAACCTGCCCCTTTTTGTACCAAAGGATTTCATCATTAGGAGTGAAGAATGAGAATTCTCATGTCCAGGGATTTTTTTCCCCAGAAATTTATTTTGTCTTATAATGATTAAGTATAGATAAAAATAAAGATTGATGGGAGTGGAATTAACCATTATGTGATTTAACATTTATTTATGATTTGAACATTATGTAATCTCAATACCATATATTTATATGTGCAAGCTATATATAGTGTTTTTACAGTATATGTAGCCCAATTTCATTCATTTTAATTGCTCTGTAGTGTTCCAATGCATGCCTATATCTGTTTTGTAACTAGACATTAAGGTTGTATATGCACGTTTCTCTGTAAGTCTAGATGAATGCCTATATTATAGAATATATATATTCCAAATTTGCTAGTTTTGTCAATTTTTCTCCAAAGCGGTTCTTTCATTTTGTGCTCCAGCCTATAGAAAGATTCCATTCATTTACATTCCTCCTAAGATTTTTTTTTATTGCCAGACTTCTAGATTTGCTACACTGCTGAATTCAAAATAAACCTTATTTTAGTTTCAGTTTGCTGGTTCCTGATTACTAGTATGTTTGAATCTATTTTCTGTGTTTCCTTCCATTCACATTTCCTCTTTCATCAATTGCTTCTTCATGTTCTTTATTCATTTTCTATCGGATTATCACTTTCAAAATGATTTGGAGGGGCTCCCTGGTGGTGCAAGGGTTTGAGACATAGCACTATGAAGCTATCTGTAGCCACTGCAGCACCAGTTTGATCCCTGGCCAGCGAGGTGACCCAGCACCCAGCAGTTTGATCCCATGGCACAGCAGACCTCTCCTTTCTCACTAGCTGCTCCACTCAGCAGTGTATTTCAGTCAGTCTGCCTGTTCTGTTCCCCGCTCTGTCTCTGGTGAATCCTCTCACCGCCCCCCACACACAGCTCTGGCCTGTACCCCAGGTCTTGTATGCATAAATAAATAAATCTTTAAAAAATGACTTGGAGGATTTATTTATAGGTATTAACCATTTTCAACCATTTATCTAAATATAGTCTGTTCTTAAAAAGCTGATCCTATTTCTGCAGTTTGTTTTGCATAAAAGTTTTAACAAACAAGTTAAAACTGAAATATAGGGCCTCCCTGCAGCACTTGAGTGCCACACTATGAAGCTGTCCGCAGCCTTTGCAGCACTGGTTTGATCCCAGCCAGGCGAGGAGAAACTCACATGGGCGCACAGACCTCTCCTGTCTCGCCCGCTGCTCCCCTCAGCTGTGCATTTCATCAGTCTGCCTGTTCCGTTCCCCGCTCTGTCTCTGGTGAATCCTCTCACCCTCCCACGCATCTGGCCTGTACCCTGGTTCTTGTATAAATAAATAAATCTTTAAAAAAAAAAAAAAAACAACCTGAAATATAGAAAAGAAAGAAATGTTATTTCCATGAGTGTGAGTTCAGGAAAAATACTGAGAGCCATTTTTTTTTTAATTATTTCTCTGTTCGCTGCCCGCCCCCCAAGTTCAGAGTTAAGTGTGGGACACCTAGCTTTGTGCTTGAAAATACATGTGTTTGATTGATGAGTAGGTGGTTTAGAACAATTTGAGTGCTGAATGAGAACCAATTTTGAGGGTGATTAAACTCGGATTACTAGATGTCATAATTTGCATACCCATTATGCATATGTCTAATAAGGGCTGTTAGAGCCCTAGCGCATCTCTGGCCATGGCTACTTGTACACAAAATCAGCTGGAGGCAGTGATATGAGGCATGTAGGAATAATCTGTCCCAATTTACTTCTCAAATATTTTACTACCAGAAAAATCTCCACTTGTGATATAATCCCTAGACTTGGGTAACCAAGGAAATCATGAAGAGCAGGATAATGTCATGGTGATGTCAGTTTGAATAGACTTGTTGCTTGGGAATCCTGATAGAAAATCTTAAAATAACTATGGCTTTCTTTCTCTTTCAGAGGTGTGGCGAAATCTTGTTTGAAAACCCTGACCAGAATGTCAAATGTGTTTGCATGCTAGGTAAGAAGGTGTTTCATTTTAGATATATTAAGCATGTTGTCATGTGATTTATGGTTGTTCTGTTGCATTACTTGTCTCTTGTTCCATATTGCAGAGGCTTGTGCACTTTTATAGGTTTGTAGACAGCTATAGCCCATTTATTCGTGGAACATGATGATGAAAAAAGGTTTTGATTTTAATAACTGTCAAGAAGTCAGGAACTATACTTCCGGGGCTTTCAAAATTTTTCTTGGATTATCATCAAACCATAGATATGGAAGCTTTGTATTCAGGCAATGGTAATGAAAAAGTAATAAGAGTATCACATTATAATTCCTAAACTAGAGGTGATAAGCTAAGTAAACTATTAAATATTTACATCACAGCAGAAAACCCTTACTCACAATGCCCGGAAGAAACATGTATTTGAACTAATCTTGTCGGCAAGACAATTACCCACACTGCATTTGATATAATACTGCAACACTGTAATAATAATCATTTGTTCTCCTGGGATAATATATCATCAATGCCTTTCACAAACTTTAATATGTAATAATAAGAATGAAGTTGACATTATTTTCCTTATTTTGATAGGTTAGAAAATTAGTACAAAAAATGTAAATGAGAAATGTTCCATCCAAATTTCTAAACTAAAATTTTAGATCTAGTGTCTAGTTCTTATTTAAACCACTGAACTATAATTTCCCTTGTCCAATGAACTTTCAATTAACTAATTGAATAAACAGTAAATCGAATAAATAATAAAATGAATCAATTCAAATAACACTTAAATTTGATTTTCACCATAATTTTATTCTTATCCATTCCAATCCCCAACTATACTCATAAAGAACAAATGATTTGTTTTAGCATATTCTATTTTCTCTATCACATATGTTGGTGACCTATGTGATCAATGAGATGGTTCAAAAATAGTGAGAAAAATAAATAGATGCCTTGGTCATTTATAATTCAAGATGTTCAGGTAATAAATAATTGAAGGTTGCTCATAACTTAAAAACAAACCAGAAAAAAATAAGTAAATAAAAATAGACACCATCTTTTTCTAGTTTTCTAATCTTTCTCAATTCTTTGCACTAGTGTTTTAAACCTCTCTGTTGCAGTTCTTACATGTTTTTATCTTTATTAAGATAATAGCTATATAGAAAAGTGCTCGCTCCAGTGTTCTTTTCTCTTAACAATGAGAATGCCTCCAGAATGGTAATAATTCAGGGTATAAACTAGGTAGATTATAGATATATTAAATAAGGATGATAGGTGGATGGATGGATGGATAGACAGACAAACTGATCGATCAATAGACATAAAAGAATGCCCTTGTTGAACCTATGTCCCAGCCTTAGAATTTTGAAACCATCTCAAGTCACATCTGATCTATTCATTAGCTAACTTATTTAATTTTCACAAGATGAGTTTGGGCCATAGTTAACTTCATTTTATAAGTAAGAAAAGTAAGGCAAATGGACAGATACTATGGGTAACTAAATAACATTACAATATTATTTGATTATAATTTCTACCTGATCAAGTAATTTAAATCAATGTTTAACTCATGATGACTTTAAGTACATAAACACATCATGCATTTTGACTTTTTTTTCCTTGTCCTGGCTCCCATTTGCATTGTTTAATTCATTTATAATTAGGATAAGGACCACAATAAAGGATCTACTACTGCCTGCAGTATTGACTCACATAAAATAAGCTCATTCATCTTTCCATCTCTTCTATATTATATGGAATGATTTACATAGCTGCCAGAATTTATTTCAGGCTACCAAATTCTCCTTCCCCCAATAAATCGAGCAGATTGCCAAACATTCCAAAATTAAAACTTCATATAAATCACTTTTGTGTAACTACTACTCTCATAATAGTCACAATTACCTGAATACTTAAATATGTAATAGATGTAGTCCACCCTGAACCTCTTACATCATATTCTAAGTAAATTAAGGTATTTGAAAATATAGCTATCCTTGCAATGGCAATATATTATTAAGCTTGCAGGTTTCGCTACTTTATAAAATATCTCTATCTTTAGTAATATGAACCAAACAATACAAAGGAACCATGAGAATGAATGTTTTTATTAGTTTGAGGCCACACAAAATATAAATATTCCATAAGAACTATTGTACATTTCATCTTTAAATCAGATGATAAATATTTATGGTGTCTAGTGAGCTTGTGTCCAGTGAAAATTGTGCCCTCGAGGAACTCACATTTAAGAAGTTTATACTTCTTCCTACTTATTTTTAAGAGGATTGCTATAATTTTTAATTAAAATATAAAGTCCTATGAAATCTTAAATGAAAGAGAATCCAAAGTGAATGATTATGCAAGTCAGCACAGATGATGGACCTGCCCTTGACTTGGGTCCCACCTGACGTCCAAGGGCTGCCATTCCACAGCAATACTATGCCAGGTAATAAGGAAAAAAGTGAAGTTGAATGATTTATTCTCTTATAACAAGAGAAAATCAAGTTACAAATGTGGAACTTACCAAACTGAGACCACATTTTGTGTTTCATCAGAAAGGATTTATAGAAACACAAGAAAAGCACTGCTTCACATGGTCTAAGGTATTAGCTTGTTGCTTCCCTTAAGAGGAATCATGCCCTATGACTTCCTGAAACGTTCTCGAGAAAACATTACTATCTCCAACAGTAAAGGATAAGGAATCACCCTGATATCTGAAGGAAATACTAAGTTTATTAAATCTTGTCAATCATGAATGTAGTTCATATTTTTGCAAGAAGTGCTACAAAATTTTTGTGAATACATCAAAATTTCCAAATAAGAAAGCTAAATATATAAAGTAGTTTCCAGAACTTCACCTCCAATAATTATGCTCCCTGGGTGAGGTCAAACTGAGACAGTCATGGCTTTGAATTGTCAGGTTTTTCACATTAAATAAGACATAAGTGTAAAATTTATCTTGCGTTATTATGAAGCACTGAATTCAATGCAGTTTTTAAGGGGAACAAGCGACTGTCATGTCTTACGGGGAATTGTTTCTGGATTCAAGGGAATAGTTTGTGTTGGATACAAAGGTAAGTAAAGATGTGCCACGTTGCTGGCTGCAGTGAATATTAAATATTTATTCTCAGAATTCCAACAGAGAGGTCAAATATGGGCAATCATTTCAAGTACCAAATTGTAATAAAAATTTCTCTTCTCCCTCATTTTAGGGAATATGTTCAAAACCCTTATCTCCCTCCTTTTTTTGAAAATTTAGCCATGAGATTTCTCTCAAACTCAAATTGACCTAGAAGTTTATATAACTATATCAAAATGTAAATAACTGGATAACAAGACTTGCACCTTAATGAGGTGTAATGAACTGATACCAAAGAAAAAAGAAGTAGAAGAAAAATTATCTCTATTGCACAATAATGCATGAAGTATGATGAGTTGTTAAAAGAATTTTGCTTTCTAAGTATAATGAAGCTATTGGGTACAAAGAGCCAAGAGTATTTAGAGAAATTGCGTGAAATGATCAGTGTTGATTTACGTCTTAGTTCATTTGCTAACCTCACTCTGTGAAAAGACAAATCCTGGGGGGGAAAAGCTTTCAAAAAAGAATTCCAGAGCCAACTCAATGCCTCTATATTCCTTCCCTTTATTCTTAGAGTAAGGTTCTTTTAAATAGTGAACTTTAATTTATAATTTATGATATTCTGTCGGCTCAATTTCTCCCTCTTCTTTATCGTTTTAATTTTTTCCTATTTGAAATTTACAAATTTGAAATTCTCTACTTCTGTTTCATGCATGATTCCTTTCATGCTGTCATATCATTTTAATAAAAACTAAGCACTTTCTTACCTGCCAAGCTTAGAAAGTGGTGCTCATATTATCAGGTTCTGGTTGAAGTTTAATCTAAATCATTTAAAGGCAGTGCCAGTTTTCAAAGCAAAAATACCATGATATCATTATTTTACTAACATTCAACATTAAGCAGAGCCTCCCTGGTGGCGCAGGTGGTTGAGCGCCGCACTGTGAAACTGTCCGCAGCCTCTGCAGCGTGGGTTCGATTCCAGCCGGCTGGCAAGAATCCCATAGGGTGCAGCAGACCCCCTCTCCTGTCTCACCCGCTGCTCCCCTCAGCAGTGTATTTCATCAGTCTGCCTGTCCTGTTCCCCGCTCTGTCTCTGGTGAATCCTCTCACCCTCCCGGGCATCTGGCCTGTACCCCGGTTCTTGTATGAATAAATAAATCTTTAAAAAAAAAATCAACATAAGCATAGAGAGACTTGCTTTCTACTCTTTGCTCTGAAAAATTAGCTACATATTCATGAATTTGCTTCATCTTTTAAGTTTCCATTTATAGTTTTTCTGCAAAGTAGAAATAAATATATCTGTCTTTTCAGCCCAGGGGTTATTCTGGTGATAGTATAGAATGTTCTGTGAAGAAATGCTGCTGCTCTGATTCCTTAAATATTGTTCTTGCATCAATAAACTGATGAATAAATAATAAACAATTGCAAAGACCCAAATTGATAATGAGCAACAAAAACAAAACTGTTAAGTAATAGATTATTTGTTAATGTCATCAGCAGTGTAGAAGAGTAACTGAAAAGATGAAACATATAAATGCAAAAACAATTTTTAAAGTTATTGAAAACATCCTTATTGTGTGTGCCACAAGAACATTCATCCAACATTCATTCAACAGCCATACATTGAACACCTGCTCTATGCAAGGCACGGTGCCAGCACTGGGAATGCAAAGACCAATGGGGCACATGTTCTGCCCTCAGAGTCCAGGAAGAGATTTATGCCCTATCCCTCAAAGCCTGCAGAAACTGAAAAATGATACCAGAGAAATAAAATGTATTGGAACTACAAAAGATAAAGAGAGTACACACAGTTGGGATACAAAGTCATGCGGTGCATTTGGACACAGAGGGCAAGAAAGTGGCAACATTTTTGGTGGATGCAAAACCATATTCAAAAGTCCCCATACAAGAAAGGAGGGGAGTGGAAGGAGCAAAA